TACAATATGGAGATTTCAGCCACCGATGGCGGAGGGCTTTCAGGAAAATGCACTGTGGCTATACAGGTGTTGGATGTGAATGACAATGCCCCAGAACTGACCATCTCGTCGTTCATGAACACCATTCCCGAAAACTCACCAGAGACTGTAGTTTCTGTTTTTAGTGTATTTGATTCAGATTCTGGGGATAATGGGAAAATGATGTGTTCCATTCCAAACGATCTCCCGTTCTTGTTAAAGTCCACATTCGAGAACTTTTACACCCTACTGACTGAGAGGCCATTGGACAGAGAAAGCACAGCCGAATACAACATCACCATCACTGTCTCCGACTTAGGGACTCCCAGGCTGCAAACCCAGCACACCATCACCCTGCAGGTGTCCGACGTGAACGACAACGTCCCCGAATTCACGCAGTCCTCCTACACCCTGTGGGTCCGCGAGAACAACAGCCCCGCCCTGCACATTGGCACCATCAGCGCCACAGACAGAGACTCGGGCAGCAACGCCCAGCTGACCTACTCGCTGCTGCCCGGCCCGCAGCCCGGCCCCGACGCGGCGGCGGCGCTGGTGTCCATCAACGCGGACAGCGGGCAGCTGTTCGCCCTGAGGGCGCTGGACTATGAGGCCCTGCAGGCGCTCGAGGTGCGCGTGCGCGCCGCCGACCGCGGCTCGCCCCCGCTCAGCAGCCAGGCGCTGGTGCGCGTGCAGGTGCTGGACGCCAACGACAACTCGCCCTTCGTGCTGTACCCGCTGCAGAACGCGTCTGCACCCTGCACCGAGCTGCTGCCCAGGGCGGCCGAGCCGGGCTACCTGGTGAGCAAGGTGGTGGCGGTGGACCGCGACTCGGGCCAGAACGCCTGGCTGTCGTTCCAGCTGCTCAAGGCCACGGAGCCCGGGCTGTTCAGCGTGTGGCCGCACAATGGCGAGGTGCGCACCGCCAGGCTGCTGAGCGAGCGCGACGCGCCCAAGCACAGGCTGCTGCTGCTGGTCAAGGACAATGGCGAGCCGCCGCGCTCGGCCAGCGTCACGCTGCACGTGCTGCTGGTGGATGGCTTCTCGCAGCCCTACCTGCCGCTGCCCGACGCGGCGGCGCCCGAGCGCGCGCAGCCCGACCGCCTCACTGCCTACTTGGTCATCGCGCTGGCGGCCGTGTCTTCTCTCTTCCTCTTGTCTCTGCTGCTCTTCGTGGCCTTCAGGCTGTGCAGGAGGAGCAGGGCGCGCTCGCTGGCCGGCTGCGCGCTGCCCGATGACCCCTTGCCTGGACACCTGCTGGACGTGAGTGGCACGGGGACCCTGGCCCACAGCTACCAGTATGAGGTGTGTCTGCAGGGAGGTGCTGGCACCAATGAGTTCAAATTCCTGAAACCGATATTACCCAATATTTTGCCTCAGTATTCTGGTGAAGAGACAGGAAACCATCCTCTCTTCTGAAATAGCTTTGCATTCTCTTAGATATCTGTTTATGATATTATTTTCTCCCTATTCACCTTAACTAGTTCTAGAATTTATGTGTAGATAAAGTTCACTGTCACTAGTAAATCTCAAGCTCGTTTTGTATGTGTTGAAGTTGCATGTATTCACATATTGTCCTACACGTGTTTGGTTTTCCTGAGATTTTTGTTGTCTCTTTGATAGTTATTGTGATGGGTTATATCAATACAAATAAAACCTTAACTCTATGTTTTAATATATTTTGTGCCTCTTTATTTCATCCAGTGAAGTATATACTATGATAAATTGAAAACAAATGTTTTCCTTCCCTTCCTTCTTTTTTGGATCAGTCGTGGGTATGGAACTCAGTGCCCAGTTGCTGTTCCTCAGCTCTTTTTGCTTAAGGCTAGCATGCTACTATTTTGAGCCACAGTGCCACTTCTGGTTTTCTTGTGATTAAGTGGAGATAACAGTCTCTAGAACTCTCCTGCCCTGGATGGTTTTGAATCAAGATCCTCAGATCTCAGCCTCCTGAGTAGCTAGGATCACAGACATGAGCCACTAGTATCTGGTTGTTTTCTTAGTTATATATATTTTCAAAGGAACTTATATCTATTACACAATCAAATATATGAAAAATAAGATGAAATGCAAGTACATTCTATTTTTTGTTTCCAGTCTTGGCTCCTTCCACAGCCCAACCCGTTGCTCCCAGAGGCATTGCTTCTTCTAGGCAACAAGAAGATCTCATTGTGCTGTTGGTAGCCCTGGCGTTGATGTCATAGCTCTTTATCTTCTTAGTGCTGTTGTCAATGACAGTCTGGCTGTGCAGAAATAATAGGATAGCTTCACTGGGTTGCTGGTTTGTGCCTGAGTCACTTTTCAGGCCACCTGGTGAATGTCAGCAACATGGGGACCCTGTCCCACAGCTACCAAAAATGATATCTGTCTGTGAGGAGACTTAGATTAGTGACTTCAACTGCATGTTGTTTTTGCTTTTTGTAATGAGCCTTTTCCTGTTTATGTTACTCCCATTTAAGGTGTGGGAAAATTGAGCCTGGTGCCTCAAGCATGCTAGCAAGCTCTCTACATCTGAGCAGCATGGTCAAACCTTTCATGCTATGCTTGAGGTTGAACTTTTTATGAAAAGCAAAAGTTACATATTCTTTTCTCTTATGCTTACAGCATGTTTAATATTGACAAGTCCTATATTTGGCAATTTAAAGCAAAAGTAATTTTTAGTAATTTAAAACTTTGAAATACCCATTTTACAAATAATACCTTCCAACATTCCATAGATAGACTCTCTTACAATTGATTACAGTCTTTTCACTATTCCTGTCTGATAACTATTTTTCATTATGAATGTTTTATTATTATCATCCTGTGTATGTCTCATTTAGGGCTAACTATAGTGTTACAAGATAAACACTAAAAATAAATGATGAAGTACTCATGGATCTTATGTTTACATGCTTGAATGTATGTCAATATACCATAATAGTCAAGGAACTTTTTGTAAGGATAGAAAGTATATTTAATGAACTGTCAAGATATTAAATTACAGTTTATGAGCCTCTTTTAGATATTTTCTTTAAATATCTATTTTAAATTTCTTATAAACATTTGGTGAATTTTAGTATCAATTCAGTGTGATTTTTAGAGTACATTTTCATGAATAAAGAAATGCTAGTATCCTCTCTGCAATAAAGTCCCCTTTCCATAAGTGAAGTTGTTAAATATTATAGCTTACTTGTCTTTTTTGCTTTCCTTCAAAACAGAAAATATTCTTCTATTCATACTACTCTATTACAGAACATAAAATACTCCTGATGATCCATTTTGTCTGTCTAAGAATTTAACAGTTCATAGATATTCTTATGTAAAAATCAAATTGTATTTTTCAAACTTTCATTTTTTTCTCAAATTTCTGTACAAAGGCATAAGTTTAGTATTAATCACAGGTTGCTATGTAATGCTAGAGTTTCCTTTCTTGTGCTGCGTAAGCATCATGGGCCTTCATTAAACAGAAAGTCATTTACCTCCTCAGGTTAACCTTTATTTGGTCTTATATATGTAGGTTTTATATGTAGTATTTTAGGAAATTTTCCTTTAAGGTTTCTGTCAAAGGCAGATAATCTATTTTTATTTATTTTATTTTACATAGTTTTTTAATCTGGTCCTGGGGCTTTAACTTTGGGCCTGAGTGTTGTCTCTGAGCTTCTTTTGCTCAAGGTGAGTGCTCTACCACTTGAGCCACAGTGCCACTTCCAGCTTATTTTCAGTAGTTTATTTGAGATTAGTCACATGGACTTTTCTTCCTGGACTGGCTTTGGAGCATGATCCACTGATCTCAGCTTCATATGTAACTAGGATTACAGGCATGAGCCATGGGCATTAGCTCAGAAAATTTATAATGAAATGACAACTACGTTAATATTTTTAATTACAATAGAACTATATTTGGCTATTTTAGAGTTCAAATAAATACCTGCTGTGGATGATTACCAATTGGTTTGATAAATGTAGGGAATGCGTGTTCCTACATGTTGATCCTCTTCTTCAAATAGCATTCTTTCTTTTAATCAAGATGTTCTGTTTTCACTGCTCTCATTCCAGATAGTTTTAGTTGGAATATTAGTGATGTTCAATTATCCTATCTCCATAGCCAAGACATAGACATTTGTCCAATGCTCATAGCTCAAAGCCTTTCTCCAGATAGTATTTTTATTTACTTCACTGACTTTAGTATCTTCATGTTCGTAGAAAGGATATTAACTTAATTCTCAGCTTATACCTATTTTCATAAACCAAACAACCATTTCCTCTCAACTTCACTGAGCACTGCACAACTTGAAAAATCTCAGTGCTATATAGCCCAGAGATGGACAAAAAAATCACATCATAATTTTTATATATGTAATATGAGTACATTTTGTAGTGGAAATGGATTTTAAAAGCCTATTTAAAAATATTTTTGTTATTAAAAAGGCAAAATACAGAGTCAGATAATGAGTACATTTCTTTTTGGAAAATGGCACCATTTCCTTCGCTCTCTCTCCCAGTTAAAAGCCTAATTTTAACAAAATAAAACATCAGTATTCTAATACAATTAAAACTCCACAAAGGAAGGACTTTAGTGCCTCATTTAGGGTAGTATCTCAAACACTAGATGAATGCCTGTATAGGTAAGTAATCGTTAGAATACAGTTTTGAGTACTGACTTTGCACCATTATGAGGAAGACAAATATACACATATATTTCTCTTTTTCTCACTGCTACCGTTAGCTATTTAAACACGACTGTCAAGTGGGTTGAGGAAAACAGTGTAGAGAAGTTATGAGCTAAAAGATGCACAATTACAATGTATTTTTGGAATGGACATTACTTGAAGTTGTAAAACAGAACACTTGGTGGCGCTGCAGGCTAAGAAAGAAAAATGCAGAGACAAAGACTCAAAGCTGAGCTGTTCGTGACCGCTTAAAAGGGAAATACCATTCATTACTGGAGACACTACGTTCCTGAAAGGCAACATCAAGCAACGTGAAGACAAACAAAAAAGAAATCAAAATTATTAAACCAAGGTAGCTGAATTAGCTATAAAGTGATTCCTTTGTAATTACTTCATCTTCTGGACCTGAGAAAAGATGGAGATGCCGGTCTTCCCAGCACAGCAGAAAAGGCAAGTGACCACCATTATTTTCTTACTACTCTTGTGGGAGGTGGGCAGTGAAACTATTAAATATTCCGTTCTAGAAGAAAGAGACAGAGGCTCTTTTGTAGGCAACCTAGCAGAAGATTTGGGGCTAGGTGTAGAGGAGCTGGTCACTCGGGGTGCACAGATTCTTTCCAGAGGGAACAAACAGCATTTGCAGCTGGAACAGAAGAGTGGGGAATTACTCCTCAAAGAAAGAGTGGACCGGGAAGAGTTGTGTGGGGACACAGATCCATGCATTTTGCATTTCCAGTTGCTACTGAAAAACCCGGTGCAGTTTATTCAAGGTGAGCTACAGATCCAAGATGTAAATGACCATGCTCCAGAATTCTTAGAAAATGAAATTCTCCTTAAAATCGTGGAAAGCACACATCCAGGGACCCTGTTTCCTTTGAAAATAGCTCAAGATTTGGACGTAGGCTGCAATACAGTTCAGAACTATTCAATTAGCACCAACTCCCATTTCCATCTTCTCACTCGTAATCACAGCGATGGCAGGAAATACCCTGAACTGGTGCTGGACAAAGCACTGGACCGGGAAGAGGAGCCTGAGCTCAGATTAGTCCTCACAGCACTAGATGGTGGGTCACCACCCAGGACTGGGACTTCTCAGGTTCTCATTGTAGTTCTGGATATCAATGACAATGCCCCTGAATTTGTTCAGGGACTCTACGGGGTACAGGTACCAGAGAACACTCCCGTAGGTTCCCTTGTCATCACTGTATCAGCTAGAGATTTAGATGCTGGGATTCACGGAGAACTTTCCTACTCATTTTTCCAATCCTCAAATCAAGTCATTCAGGCCTTTGAAATAAACACAGACACAGGAGAAATTAGATTAAAAAAACTGTTGGATTTTGAGGAAATTAAGTTTTACCGCATGGAAATTGAGGCCTCAGACGGCGGGGGACTTTCAGGAAAATGCACTGTAGAAATAGAAGTGCTGGATGTAAATGACAATGCCCCTCAGTTGACGATGTCACTATTTAACAGTGACATTCCAGAAAACGCTCCGGAAACTGTGGTCGCTATTTTTGGAATTTCAGATCCAGACTCTGGAGACAATGGGAAAATGAAGTGTTCCATCCAGAACAGTCTCCCTTTTCTTCTGAAACCTACAGTAGAAAATTTCTACACATTGGTCACAGAAGGCTCTCTGGACAGAGAAAACAGAGCAGAATACAATATCACCATTACCGTCTCCGACTTGGGGACTCCCAGGCTGCAAACCCAGCACACCTTCACCCTGCAGGTGTCCGACGTGAACGACAACGCCCCCGAATTCACGCAGTCCTCCTACACCCTGTGGGTCCGCGAGAACAACAGCCCCGCCCTGCACATTGGCACCATCAGCGCCACAGACAGAGACTCGGGCAGCAACGCCCAGCTGACCTACTCGCTGCTGCCCGGCCCGCAGCCCGGCCCCGACGCGGCGGCGGCGCTGGTGTCCATCAACGCGGACAGCGGGCAGCTGTTCGCCCTGAGGGCGCTGGACTATGAGGCCCTGCAGGCGTTCGAGGTGCGCGTGCGCGCCGCCGACCGCGGCTCGCCCCCGCTCAGCAGCCAGGCGCTGGTGCGCGTGCAGGTGCTGGACGCCAACGACAACTCGCCCTTCGTGCTGTACCCGCTGCAGAACGCGTCTGCGCCCTGCACCGAGCTGCTGCCCAGGGCGGCCGAGCCGGGCTACCTGGTGAGCAAGGTGGTGGCGGTGGACCGCGACTCGGGCCAGAACGCCTGGCTGTCGTTCCAGCTGCTCAAGGCCACGGAGCCCGGGCTGTTCAGCGTGTGGCCGCACAATGGCGAGGTGCGCACCGCCAGGCTGCTGAGCGAGCGCGACGCGCCCAAGCACAGGCTGCTGCTGCTGGTCAAGGACAATGGCGAGCCGCCGCGCTCGGCCAGCGTCACGCTGCACGTGCTGCTGGTGGATGGCTTCTCGCAGCCCTACCTGCCGCTGCCCGACGCGGCGGCGCCCGAGCGCGCGCAGCCCGACCGCCTCACTGCCTACTTGGTCATCGCGCTGGCGGCCGTGTCTTCTCTCTTCCTCTTGTCTCTGCTGCTCTTCGTGGCCGTCAGGCTGTGCAGGAGGAGCAGGGCGCGCTCGCTGGCCGGCTGCGCGCTGCCCGATGGCCCCTTGCCTGGACACCTGCTGGACATGAGTGGCACGGGGACCCTGGCCCACAGCTACCAGTATGAGGTGTGTCTGCAGGGAGGTGCTGGCACCAATGAGTTCAAATTCCTGAAGCCTATCATCCCCAATCTCCAGTCCCATGGCTCTGGGAAGGAGGTAGAGGAAAATTCTCCCTTCCGAAACAGTTTAGGTTTAAATTACTGATAGAAATCTACTTAGTTAGGATGTTTACTTAACTTAATCTTGGTGATTAAATGATAGAAAACTGCAAGTCCAGGACCCTGTCTCAGAATTGTCAGTATGAATTTTATTTGGCCCTGTGCTTTGAGGCTACTGAGGTCAAATTGTTAAACCCTAACTTCTGTGGTGAGGGACTGATAGGAACAATGAACGTAATTTCAACTTTAGGAATCATTATGAGTTCAAGTAGGAATCTAATTGATCATTTATGATAATTATAGAATTCAATGATATATTTGTAACTTCTCAACTCTTTCATTCACTTATACTGCATACTTACATGTTAGTAATTATAGTCTTAGGCCATATATAAATATATATATACATATATATTTAAACCCATTGAATTATTTTTCAAACCTTTTAGTTTTTTTCTTAGCTGGCTTACACAATGTACTTTCGCATGCACACACGCACGTACACATGCACACAATACTAAGGAAACAGTGTTTGTCAATGTTGTTGATTTAGTCACATTGTTTGGAAGTCACAGTTGTTTTGGGAGTCCCAATGTTTGAGACTTATCATTATTTATACTTTAATATTAAGACATTTGTGTCCATGCATTCTGATCATAACAAGCATGAGTTTAATTCTATTGTAAATAATTGCTCTGAATTTTGCAATCATATCCAGTAATGTAAAATTCTTATTAAGTAAACTCTTGGAATTTTATTGTTTCCAAAACACTTCTTTCTCAGAAAGACTTGTTGCTTTTTTCAAGAATCAAGATTTAGTATGAATGATGTTTCTCTGTTTTTCAAATTTATTTTAATTAGATAATCCACTATTTTTTTGCTTTAAAAATAACAAAATTGCTAAACGTGTGATTGCTTTTTCATAATAAATGACTTGTTATATTAAAATAATTCTCATTCTTTAAAAATAATGGTAGTCTTATACTTCACAACATAAAGTGTAAAAAATAAGGAAAACTAATATCATTTCTCCTCCACTCAAAATCTTTGTTAATTCAACAATCTTAGAATAATCTGAGATATTTCTACTGGAGTTTGGGGTGTAGACTTTTGGAATACCATGTGTTTAGCATGGTCAAGGCTTTTGGTTCTAATCCCAGCATCAACAAAGATGAAAATATTCATCAACAAGATGAATATTTCCATAAATGCAAAGAAGTTCAATTAGCTATAAATAATTTTGTAGAATGGATCTATAGTAAACTGGTAGTTTGAACTTCAAATGATCATATTGAATATAAGGAAATTTGCTTAAAATTAGATAAAAATCCCTAGAACATTAAAAAAAGTAGATTATAATGTATGTTCAGACATTACCATCACATAATTGCTTCCTTTTTCTATTCACCTTACTTTTTTGGTGGGGGGTCCAGTTGTGGGGCCTGAACTCTGGGCCTGTCCCTCCACTCTTCAGGTCAAGGCTAGCACGTTACCACTTGAGCCACAGCACCACTTTTGGCTTTTTTTTTTTGCTTATGTGGTGCTGAGGAATCGAACCCAGGGCCTCAGGCATTCAAGGCAAGGGCTCTACCACTGAGCCACCTTCCCAGCCCAATCACTTTACTTTTTGTGTGCCAGTCTTGGGGCTTGAACATGGAGCCTAGGCTCTTATCTCTGACCTTCCAGCCTCTTTTGTTAGGCTAGTAGAAGTAAGATTTTCACAGAGTTTCATGCTCTAGTTGACTTTGCACTATGATCCTTGGATCTTAACCTCCTGAGTAGCTAGGATTGCAGGTGTGAGCCACAGCACCAGACTTCACCTAACTTTTTGTTTTATATGTTACCTCATTGATGTATTTATAATGTATTTTTAAAAGATAGTTCCCCTGGTTGTTTAGCTATTTTACATTTATAAAATTTCAGTGTAAAAGGATACATTTATTTGGATTTTATTCTAGTCTGATTGCCCAACAGCTCACCATATTTATTAACTAACCACATTTATTTAACTGTTTCATGTTTTCATATTTTCAATAACATAGTTAAAATACTTTTTTTTCTAAAGTTTTCAAGGTTAATTTGTTTTGGCTTGGGTTGGTTTTACTTTGTTCCTTTGATACTGCATCTCACTATGTAGCCCAGACTGGTCTCAAACTGTTTCAGTTTTAGATACTATCCATAATTTGCTTCCTTCTTAAAGGGCATACACATATATTTTCATATTTCTCCCTCATTTCCCACCTAACAATATCATAATTCTGCTTAGTGATTATTCAATTATCACCATTTCATTATTGTTTACATTTGAACATTAAAAGTAAAACAAAAGGCCTCTTTGCCCTTAAGTTAATAATTGCCTCATTTCCTTTTTCATTTCACCCACCATGGTTATATATAAAGTTATCTTCAACTTCTCAAACTCTAAAGCTCTCAATTTGACGATTAGAATAGAGAAATCTAGTTTTGATCATTTGTTTTGGAGACTCTCTAGAGCAATCCAAGCACTTTCTTGTTTGTATACAATTCAGTCTCTATGCTTTTTGTACACCTGGTAACTTGGTTTACCTGTCACCAAGCAATTTGCTTTCATTTTCCCCTTGCATTTTATATAGTTTTCTGGATTTTATATCCTCTTATTGTTTGCCTTATTTCTTTGAGTTCCTAAATGTTTTGAGAGTCTGCACATCTTAAAATTTTCAGGTGTCAAAAAATCAAGTGTCTTATTTCAAGGTTTTATTCGGTGTGGAATTATAAATTAGGAGTTATTTGCAACTAATATTCTGAAGGTATTGTTCCTCTATCTTCAAATTTTCAATGTTAGACTATTCATTAACAGTCTGATTATCCATTATTTTAAAAGAACTTTTGTTTCACCTCTAGATCATGGTTCTTAACCAGAGAAATTTTTTTACCTACCAATGTTTGTCAATATCTGAAATCATATTTGATTGACACAACTTGAGGACATGGTAATTGTGATAGTCGTACCACAAAAGTGTATTCTGCAATGCATGGATAGCACAGAGAATTATCTCAAATTCTAATAATAATAAAGCTAAGTTACCTTACTCTAGAGGAATTTTGGTTCTTATATTTATCTCAAGTGTTCTAGGATTTTGTTACTGTACCATTTAATTTTCTCATTTACTATGCTATGCTTTTGTGAGTTTTTTCAATTAAAAATTTCCTCCTCTACTCCATCTTTGTTTTCACGTTACCTGATTCTTACTAATTTTTTTTATTTTTATTTTTTATTGTGAACATACTGTACAGAGGGGTACAATTACATGGGCGATTCTTTTTTTTGGGGGGGGGGGTCCGGTAGTGGGGCTTGAACTCTGGGCCTGGGCGCTGTCCCTCAGCTCTTCAGCTCAAGGCTAGCGCTCTACCACTCGAGCCACAGCGCCACTTCCGGCTTTTTTCTTTTTGCTTATGTGGTGCTGAGGAATCAAACCCAGGGCCTCAGGCTTGCAAGGCAAGCACTCTACCACTGAGCCACCTTCCCAGCCCAACATGGGCAATTCTTGCTAATTGTATTGTGACCTCATGGTTAAATTTAATTTTTCCCTTTGAGGGTGATTAGGGTATTATTTCTTTTTTGTTTGTTTAATTTTGCTTTGTTTTGATATGTTGAACCATCTTCAAATATAGGAGATGAATCTTACTTGTTTATGGTGAATAATTCTTTTAGAGGGAAGTCACGTGGGGGAACCCACGAGCATATACAGGCTAAGAAGCACTTTACCATTGAGCTATGCCCTCATTCCCTTATACATAACATTTTAATATGACATTGAGTGACAATTTCTAGTTTTTTGTTAAAATATTTGCATTTAAGTTCATCAAGGATATTGCATATAGTTCTCTTTTTTTGTTGTGTTTTGTTTGGTTTTGATGTCAGAGTAACACTGAACTTATAAAATGTATTTTGGAAGAATTTCTCCTCTCCTGCTTTGGAATAATTTTTTAAAAATTGTGATAACTATTTAAATGATTGGTAGAATCCAGTGCAAACCGTTTGATTCTAGGATTTTCGTTGATTCAACTTTCATTATTCATTATTAGCCTGTGCTGGTTTTCCCCAACAATTTGCTACTTTCTTTTAAGTTATAAAAATTTGTGAATATAGATGTTTTGACTCTGTCTAATGATCATTTGGATTTATGTAGTGTTGGTTATAATGTGTTTCTATTTTATCTCTAACTTCTTTTTCTAATGGTCATGGGATTTGAACTCAGACCCTGGGCACTGTCCCTGAACTCCTTTGCTCAAGCCTACTGCTCTACCACTTTGAGCCACAGGACCACTTTCATTTTTTAAGTGGTTAATTGGTGAGAAGAGTCTCATGGGGACTTTTCTGCCTGAGCTGGCTTCCTACCATGATCCTCAGATCTTAGCCTCCTGTGTAGTTAGGGTTACAGGCATGAGCCACCAGTGCCTGGCTATCTCTGACTTTTTAATTAATGTTTTCCCTTCTTCTTAGTCTGCTAAGTCTTTGTCAATTATTTTTTCAATTTTTAAATTGATATTTGTCTTAATTTTTCATCTGTTTTATTTTCATTCTTATCTGTATTATTTTCCCCTCAACAATGTTAGTATTTAGTATATTTAGTATTTAAAATATAATTAATGTAATTTTAGAATATTTTATTATATGTTATATAATATATGTTAATATATTCTAATTTTAGCACTTAAAATATAATTATTTTAGTATTTTATTTTTCCAGAGCTGAGGACCGAACTCAGGGCCTTGTGCTCACCAGGCAGGCACTCTTCCACTGAGCTAAACCCCCAGCCCCAGTATTTTAGTGTTTTGAGACATTTTATTCCTCCTGTCTTCATCCCAAGTGCTGGATTACAGTGCTACACCACACTTCTACTATTTTGAGTTTGGCTGTTTTGTTTTCTGTTTCCTTTCATTTCATTTATTTCCTTTTCTTCTTATCCTTCCCATTCTTCCTTTTTCCTCTCTCTCTCTCTCTTTCTCTCTCTCTCTCTCTCTCGTTGTACTGGGTTTTCACTCAGATACTTTCACTTGCTAAG